CGGGTCTCGAACCCGCGGGCTCAGGCAATCCACTCACCTCGGCCTCCCAAAGTGCTGGGATTACAGGCTGAGCCCCTTTTATTTTTTCAAAACTGATTGTCAAATCTTTGTTTCTCCTTGTAATTTATTTTCCCCTGAGAAGGAAACCGTGGAGGTAATGTTGGTGAACAATTATTTCCAAAGGCAAAGAGCATGGTCCTCACCTTTTTTTGAAAAATGACGATAAAAATACAGTCAGCACCATAAAACTTGTGAGCCAGTAGCTACAAGCAGATGTGGGGTAATAGAGGACTCCTAAAAGTAATGTGTTCATACTCTGACCACAGTATCCTTCCTTTTTATTTGCATTTCCATAGTTAGTCAACTGGTCTGGAAAATGTGAGACTATTTTTGATGTGACATGACGTTGAGAAGCTTTATTACCCATTTTCCTTTCCTATGGATGTAACGTGTATGTGAACCGAATCAAAACTTAGCCCAGGTCAAGCATGTCCTTTCTCCAGGACACAGCCCCATCCCATCTAACAGCTTCATTGACAACTCTGGCAGAAGTCTGGAGGGAGCAGAATGAGTAGGAAAAATTTGTCAATTGACTGTACTCTCCAGTTTCTGTTTCAAGCAGAGGAACTGCTCTATGTTAATGCTGTTAACATGTTTGATCACGTTCCTAGAGAGGTCTCCAAAACCTTGGCCTAAGCTAGGCCCCTATTATGACTACAACACGTTCCTATAAAATTCATATGTCAGCCAGGCTCGGTGGCTCAGCCTGTAATCCCACGCCTTGGGAGGCTGAGGTGAGTGAATTGCCTGAGCCCGCGTGTTCGAGACCCGCATGGGCAACTTGGCGAGACCTCATCTCTACAATAAGTCAAAAAAAAAAATTAGCCGGGCATGCTAGCGCGCGCCTGTAGTTCCAGCGACTTGGAAGGCTGAGGCGGAAGGATCGCCGGAGCCCAGCAGGTCGAGGCTGTAGTGCCTGGGAGCGGCCACTGCACTCCAGTCTGGGTGACAGAGTGAGACTCCAACTCAAAAAAATAAAATAAAATAAAATAAAATTTGTATGTTGAAATCCTAACTCACAATGTGATTATAATTGGAGATAGGGACATTAAGGTTAAATAAGGTCATCAAGAGAGGCTGTAACCTGGTAAGACTGATGTTCTTATACGAAGAGACACCAGAACTCTCTCTACCCACCTCTTCCTCCCCTGCATACACACAGAGAAAAAGCCACGTGAACACACAGTGAAAATGTGGCCATCCACAAGCCAAGAAGAGTTCCTACCAGAAACCAATCCTGTCTACATCTTGATCTTGGATCAGTATTTAGTGAATCAAATTAATTTCAAGTTCTCCCAACTGGGAGAGGGAACAAGAGGAAGAAAAAGAGAGGTGAGACAAGAAGTGAGCAGTGTAGAGAAAAAAGTGGCCTGGGCAATGAGAATGAAAGTGACTTTCACCCTAAGTACCAATAATTTAAGTATTATCTGACCTTAATGGTCTTTTTTGTTCTACACAACTAGCACTTCATTTGATTTCCTGTTTTCTGTGTACTACAAAACTTCTTTGATGAAAACTGTCCCACTCTCTTTTGTCATACCGGAAATACCTAGCAGTCTGAAGCTTGTAAATTCTACTGAATCTTCATAGTACTTAACCCAATATTAGACATAGTAGGTATTCAATAAAATCATGTTAATTTAATAACATGTTTTAATTTCAGTAGTTTCTCTTTGATCTGAAGAAATCGGCTTATATTTCATTGTCCTTCAACAGAAAGGCAAGGAATCATTTTCATAGATTCTGGGATAATCCTTCCCCCATAAGGGGCAAAGTGAAACACCATTTATTTTGAGGATACTAAAAAAGGAATCTTAACCACATTGTTTTTTTCAATGCTATAATGATGACTTTTGCAAATGCTAGTTTACTCACTGTTCAGAATAAAGTAGAACTGGGTATTGACCCCAGGACAGCCTCTTTATACAGGCTTCCTTTCCAGGACTCCACCTGGTATACACCAGGCACTTGA